AATCCCCTATCATCACCATGAATATCTAGTGGGCTGCACTGCATATACATCAGTGTACACTGATGGAGGGTGTCAAATTGGCGGCCCATCCTTGCATTCTTGGGAAGTCTTGGCAGGATGCATGAACATGCATCCTGCCAGTTGGATACATCCTACACCCCCTTTCCATATCCTCAAGCCAATGCTTGCTAACATCCCACACCCTGCTGACTGCATCCCCTCATCCTCTGCCATCCTCATCCTTGGTGGGTTGGTGTTGACTCTTCCTGGGTCCACATTTCTATCCTTCTCCTTCCTATCCGTATCCTGTGCTCGACCCTCCACTGCATCCTGACTCAGTATTCTGCCACCAAGGGGACGCTTGGTGGTTAATAATTAGCCAGGTGCAGCTGTCAATGAAGGTTTTGGTAAATTCGGTCTCCGGCACTCAAGGGACACCCAAGGGACACCCAAGGGACACCCAAAAGACAGGGAAGCGACACCAAAAGGACATGGAAGAGACACCAAAGGGACATGGAAGGGACACCCAATTGGGTGTCCCTTGCAAGGGACACCAAAGGGACACCCAAGGAATGCCCAAGGGGCACCCAAGGGACACCCAAGGGGCACGGGAGGGATACCCAAGGGGCACGGGAGGGATACCCAAGGGCACCAAAGGGACACGTGGAAGGGACACGTGGAAGGGACACCCAAGGGACATGGAAGAGACACCCAAGGGACACCCAAGGGACACCCAAGGGACACCCGAAAGACAGGGAAGAGACACGTGTACCGAAGGGACATGGAAGAGACACCGAAGGGACACCAAAGGACACATGGAAGGGACACCCAAGGGACTCCCAAGGGACTCCCAAAAGACAGGGAAGAGACACCAAAGGGACATGTAAGAGACACCAAAGGACACCAAAGGACACGTGGAAGGGACACCCAAGGGACATGGGAGGTACACCGTAAGGGATAAGCTTCCTCCCCTTTGGGGAGAACCTTCGGTGTCAAACGGGTGGCACTGGAGGATACCCTCCTGTACATGTACCACCTTGCCACCGGAGGATACCCTCCTGTACATGTACCACCTTGCCACCGGAGGATACCCTCCTGTACATGTACCACCTTGCCACCGGAGGATACCCTCCTGTACATGTACCACCTTGCCACCGGAGGATACCCTCCTGTACATGTCCCACCTTGCCACCGGAGGATACCCTCCTGTACATGTACCACCTTGCCACCGGAGGATACCCTCCTGTACATGTACCACCTTGCCACCGGAGGATACCCTCCTGTACATGTACCACCTTGCCACCGGAGGATACCCTCCTGTACATGTACCACCTTAAGCTTGCCACCAGAGGATACCCTCCTGTACCACCTTGCCACCCGAGAGTACCCTCCTGTACCACCCTGCCACCGGAGAGTACCCTCCTGTACCACCCTGCCACCGGAGAGTACCCTCCTGTACCACCCTGCCACCAGATAGTACCCTCTTGTACCACCCTGCCACCGGAGAGTATCCTCCTGTACATGTACCACCTTGCCACCGGAGGGTACCCTCCTGTACCACCCTGCCACCGGAGAGTACCCTCCTGAATAGGGTTGTTAATTTCCTTAGATAGAAATTTTATCTCAACTAAACCTAATTAGAAACTAATTAGGTTTAGTTGAGAAGTTTAGAAATCTCAGCTAAGGTCTCGGCTGCTTTCAGGCGGAAGGGTCGCTGAAACTTAGGAATTAGAATCCCCATTTGCTGCATATTAACGATCATTCAATAATTTTGCACTGCGTTGAGTGTGCACAGCGAAAGGTGCTCAGTGGGCACACGGGGCAAGGGACCCACGGGACACCACCGCCTGCAAGACACCGCACGCCCATGGAAACGAGCATTAATCAACGCTAGTCTGCCCTCCGAATCCCCAATGCAACTGCACTGCTACCGCCACTTGGTGGCAATGGCAGATGAGGACTCTAGCAACGAACCACGCCCTGATTGGTGTTTGTTGCAGATGAGCAGCACCAACCAAATTGCAGCCAGCTACTCAGCACATGCTGACGTGCACGTCAGCAGCCCCAGGCCACCTACC